CATAAAGGCTTAGTCATGTCTCTTGACCAAGCAATGAGCTGGTGCCCTGACAGCTATCCTCTTTGCACATGGAGCAGTGCTGCATTGTAAGGTAAGTGATTTCTTTTCTCTCTTCTTTCCCCCTCTTCTTTTCTCTCTTCCTCCTCTTCCTCTTGGGTTCCCATGCTTGTCATGTTCTTATGGTTCAGTCACTCAAGCTCAATGCCTCAATGTCTCAATGCTCCGCGGTTTCCTCAGTCTGTTGTCATGTGTCAGCCATTCCTTTATGCTTGCAATGTCTTTGGTATTGCAGTGAGTCAATGTTTTTTGGGTTAACAAACATTTCTTTTCACCTTGCATGTGGTTTGACCATGAGACTCAGTTGCAAAGCTTCATCATGTATTCCTAACCAGTTCTGAGCAATGAATGCTGATGACAGCTAAAATCACATTGTTACAATGTCACAATGTCACATTGCATGTGACCTCTGCATGTAGATACCTCCGCTGGTTTGACTTCTTTCCTGCCATGAAATTGGATCACTGTGCACTGCTTCATTGTTAGCTCACTGCTTCATTGTCTGCTGAACTATTTGTTTTCATGCCCTATGCATCTGCAGAGCATTGCAGCTGGTCCCACAGGAAAGCTATCGCAGCTGCAAACAAGATCAAGCATGACCAAGCCAAAGCTCTATTACAAGACGCTGAAGATGCTCTTGGCAAGGCATTGCTTGACATTTCTGCTCAAACAGGTGTCTCAATTGGATGCCTAATGGCAAACATCATCATGCAGAGCCACTCCGGAGGGTCAATCTTGCAAACGCAGCAAGGTCTTTGGTTGCTAAGGAGGCAAAGGATTGCAGTGAGCACTGTCGACAATGTTGCATTGCTACAATGCTCATGACTACCAGATGCTCCTTTCCAGCTTGTTCAGCAAGAATCTGTTATCCTTGCTCAGGAGAAGCTGGCTGAACTGAAAGGAGATACAGCAGCTTGTGCGGCTGCAGAAGCTCACCTTGCTCCAACTCAAGAGAGAAGGCAGCTGGGCCTGCAAATCAATTGGAAAGGCAGGCAGCAGGACACCTGCAAGACTGCAGATTTGTTCCATCAGCAGGTGAGTACAATGTGCAATGCTTGCAATGTAGCACTGACTCTTTTGCAGGCTGCAGCATTCAGCTCTCATATGGGAGGTCATGCATGTGTCAGGGCACCAGCTCATTGCTTGGTCAAGAGACATGACTAAGCCTTTATGACATGGAAGTAGC